TGTGTGGCGGACCCCTCCCGCCCACCCAGGGTGGACAGCGAGGAGCTGGAGTTCCTGCGGGACGCCCACGTTGTGTTGGTGTCGGGCGGCAACACGCTCTACGCCGTGCGGCGCTGGGAGGAGACCGGCCTCGACGCGTGTCTGCGCGCGGCTGCGGTGCGTGGCGCCGTTCTGGCGGGTGGCAGTGCCGGGGCGATCTGCTGGTTCTCGGCGGGGCATAGCGACTCGGCGGACCCGTCGACGTTTGCGCAGGCGATGCTGCGCGAGGCCCAGTGCGGTGAAGCCGAAGGAGAGTCACACGGGAAGACAGCGCAGGCCAGCACTAATGAGAACGTGGCAGGAGAGAGGAATGGGGCGGCGGCGGCGAAGGATGCGTCGTGGGATTACATTCGCGTGCACGNGGAGAGAGGAATGGGGCGGCGGCGGCGAAGGATGCGTCGTGGGATTACATTCGCGTGCACGGCCTCAGTCTGCTTCCTGGCCTGCTGTGCCCACACCACGACAAGCGAGAGAGCAATGGCGTGCTGCGCGCGGAGGACTTCGACAAGATGCTGAAACGTCACCCAACAGAACGGGGAATCGGCATCGATCACTGGGCAGCGCTCGTGCTGCCGGGCAACGGCACGTATGAGGTGTTCGCGGTGCCTGGTAAGACGTGTGGGTCGAGCACGAGTGCAGCGCCGGCGGTGTACGTGAAGGATGTCGTTGGCGGCCAAGTGTGTGCGACGGTGCTGCAACAGAGCGGCGAAATAGGCGAGCTGCTTCGGCCGCCAAACGGTCCCGTCGTGCGGGATCCTTTCGAGGGGTACTTCGCCATGCTGAACCCAACAGCGAAGACAGAGAAGCTGCTCTGTCGTTCCAAGTAATTGTTTTATTTTCTCGTTATCAAGGGGAGGCGTGGGGAGGGCTAGTGCCATCGGTGCACAGCGTTGTGTTCTGTGGCGAGATGTATTATAATAGCTTGGTGCAGTTGGACGGGAAGTATACTTTTTTTACGATTCTCGTCACCCTTGGCTGTGTGGTGAAAAGAGGTGTCTGGGTAAAACAGGGTCTGCTGTCATAGACTTGCAGCACACAGAGCAGCAAAAGTTAAATTAAATTGTGGTTGGTGCATAATTGCGCTTGTCTGCTTGTCTCTTGCAAGTGGTGTACTCGACACCACGTTAATTCCCTTACATGCGCCGTTCCTCCGTTGTTCTTTTTGGGTCTCCTTGTGGGGTGGGCCTCTGTGCGGTGTCCCAAGGCCCTAGCAGCAGCAGCAGAAGTTAAATTAACCACCTACATCAAATGGAGAAGTCCGGCAACGCTGGTGACAGAAGCACCGTGCCGCGACCGGCAACGGCAGCCCCGCTGTCGCGGCATCAGCAGCGGCGCCACAACAAGGCGGACGGCAGACCTCGGCCGAAATCATCGTCGGGGTGGACGCAAAATTTGGCCCCAGACGAAAGCAATAGTGTATTGTGGTGGGTGCTTGGCGCCGTCATCATGCTCCTCATCGCCGTGCTGCTCACGTCAGATGTACTGTTTATCAGGCAGCACGGAGGCGACGACGACGACGGTGGCGACGGAAAGGCAACCAAGCCGACGCAGCCTCTTCACACCCCACCGCCGCGCACCTTTGCGGAGAAGACGGCGGACGCCGCAGGCCGTGAGGCACAGACAGGCAGCAGCAGGAACGGGGGGAGTTCGCAGCCATCGTGCTACACGCTCGAAGAGTACAGTGTGAAGTTTGTGATGGCTGTGCAGAAAAGGCAACAGCAGCAGACGCCGCAGCATTTCTACCGCTGTGGCACGCGTCTAACTGACATGAACACCGAAGTGAACAAGAGCGTGGTGGACCTCTGCGCAGCGGTGGCGGGGCCCACATCGTTCCCAACGCTTCGTGTGTATCTTGCGGGTGCCTTTGAGGAAAAGGCGCACCTCCGGCAGAAGCACAATATCGCCGCTCAGCGCATCCTGCTCGAGCGGCTCAACGATGACTACTGCGATTGCCTCGACGGCACAGATGAGTTGCAAACAACTGCTTGCAGCATGTCTGGCGCGGTAACACCGCTTAGCCACAATCGGTGGAAACAGTATCTGACGTCCAATGCACAAGTACGGTTGTATGAGGAGGAGGAGGCGCCGTCGAAGCAGCGCACCGAACGACTCCTGCGTCGATTGGGCGGCCCGGTGCTCCCGTTCCGCTGCCGCAACGATCCGGACGTGTGGCTCGCGCCTTCACGCGTCGGCGACGGCGTCGTGGATTGCTGCGATGGGAGCGACGAGGAGCCACAGCATCAGGAGCAGGGAAACGAGGTGCTGCAGCGGTGGAGCTCACGGGTTACCGCGATGGCGCGGTACCTCGGTGGTGCGAGCGGCCCCATGAGTCGCCTCTACCCCGCTTCCAACCGCAGCCGCAACGTCGCTGGGATGCTGCTGGACAATGGCCTCACTGCGCTCATGAGTTGTCGTCGCGTGAAGGCGGAGCGAATGCGTGACGCGTACGCGCTTCATGAGCTCGTAAAGCTGGGCCATGCCGTGTACAAGGAACGCAAAGCCAGTGGGTGGGAGAAATACGGAAAGGGCCTCGTGGAGAGGCAGGAACGCTTGGAGGCGCTTCTGCAATCCACAGAAGAAAAGTTCAAGGAAGTTCGGGAAGGTATTAAGCAACGCATGGATGCTGTAAAGGCCCCCAATCCTTTTGTTGCTGGTATCCCTAAGGAAGAGCTCGATGAGGCGGAGGAGTTATTTCAGCAGATTCGGCGCCTACAAATAGAGCTGAGGCACGTCTACATGACGCTCGGATTCCGCTGGCTTGGTGATGACTATGAGTTCTACCCTCTCGCCGATGCTCACTACGATGTGCCGATGGACCGCGTGGTGAGTACGGCGCAGAGCAGTGCAGAATCTGTGCAGCAGAGGAGCGAGGGGTATCGCTACAATGACTCGTATGTTCTGAAGGCGCCGCCGGTGCATGTTGACAATGTATCGTACCATATCATGTCCCTCTTCCCGTATGTGCACCTGATTGGAGTGCAGAACCTAACGGAGTGGCAGGCGACGGTCTTCCTCCGCCGCTCTGGCGAGCTCGCGGCCAATGAAACTTTCAACGCGTCGGGGAGCAAAGACATCAACCGTGGCCCGCCGATTATTTTCGGCCACTGGCATCCCGACATCACAGAGACGTCGGTCGACGGCTTCGCCTCGCTCGACCCGTCGGGCGGTGCGGTGCTGCTGCGCCGTCTGCTTGTCGCCGACCCCGCGCCGGTGCTAGGGGGCGTGNCACGGGGCGGTTGCGGCGGGTGCTTCACATTGCGAAGACCGAGTCCTCGCAAGAGAAGCTGAAGAAGGTGTCGAGTGGCGCTAACGATGATGATGATGATGATGCGGTGCCGATGCCGCTGCGCTACAACGCACCGGACCTTCCGGCCACGCAGATCTTCGCCGGCGGACTTTCATGTGGGTTGGAAGCTGTGCGTGAGCCAGAGGTTGCGGACAGCAAGAGCAGCAGTGGTGCTGGTGGCGGTGATGGAACGGTTGAGCCGCAGTTCACCCAAGGGCGTCTTGTTTACGCCTGTGCAGAGCGCGACGGCGTGTTGGAGTGGCACCGCAACGGCAAGTGCGAGCACGAAGTTTTGCTGGGCACCCCGAGTGCGTGCCCGCGGTGGACGCTGGAGGTGGCGGCCGCGCGTCTGCGTTCTGCGGAGGAGGCGCTGCGTCAAGAGGAGGCGGAGGCAGAGAGCATAGGAAGAAAGAAGGGCGTGTAGGTGGGCGGGATCGATGGGGGATCCCTCGGGAAGGAAGGGAGGAGAAAAATAGACTTTTTGGGGGTCCTTTTGGTTTGTATAGAAGGAAGAAAAGAGGAAAGAAATACGTGCAGGGGGATGAATTAGCTTTCTCTCTCACTTTCACTCTTCTTCATTCACACACACACACACACCCCTCCCCGCATAAGACGGATTTGCGTGACTTTTTGTTGTTATTTTTTGTTTTGTGTATTTCTGTGTTTTGGCTGTTGTTGTTGTTTTGTGTTTTGATTGNGGCTGTGTGCCATGATCATGTCTAACGATGTGGAGGAACAGTCCCCTGCTGGAGAAGTGTGGCGTCGTATTGCCACGTCTCTGCTGGTGTGTGTAGTGTGTGACTGTGAACCAACACGGCGGCTGGCCGCTTTTGGGGGGTTTTCTCGGGCGGGGGTTTTGGCGTGTCGCTGTATGCACGCATTCACAGACGCATACAACGAGACACACACACGCAGAGAGAGAAGGAGAGAGAAGGGAATGCCTCACCTTCGTGACTATTATGTGAAGTGCCTCTTAGTATTTTCCACACGGCATTGGGAGATGCAAAGCGAGTGGTGGGGAAAAGAAGACGAATTCATGGAAAATAGCCCCACAGTTGTGTTGTGCCATACATTTGCGTTGTCGTGCTCCATGAAGGATTCTCTTGCCTGTTGAGTTGCTTCTTCGTTGTTTCTTCTCTCCTGTAACGATGGTGGGGGTGTGGGAAAGGAAAGGGAGAGGAGTGTGCGTCAGTGCAGTGTTGGTTTGCTAAGAAGCGTCCACACATATATATATATATATATATATATATACAGAGGGAACGCGGAACAGGTGGGTGCGGATGTCGACTCCTGGGAAGGTCGAACACATAAACAATGCGGGGAATGACGGCCTCAATGCCGGTAATTTTCGTCTGGGACAACAGCAACAGCCGGTTGATATGTTCGTTGCATGTTTCGAGGCTGCGCTGGAGGAGGAGCTGAAGGAACAGGCTATCTCCAGCAGCTTTCGCATCTGCTTTGACAAGATCGGCTCACCATACGGCTTCATCCGCAACGAGGGTCTTCGTGAAGCGTTGCAGCGGCTGTGCGACCTTTCGGTTGAGGCGGCGGAGGAGGCGGCTCGCACGNCAACGAGGGTCTTCGTGAAGCGTTGCAGCGGCTGTGCGACCTTTCGGTTGAGGCGGCGGAGGAGGCGGCTCGCACGACAGAGGCAGCAGTAGGCAGCGCTGCGACACCGCATGTGCCGTACGATGCTATACGCTCCTCCGTGATGCACCGTGTGGCGGGGGACCCGCACGGCTCTCCATCCGCGGCGACCGCAGCGGCAGCAACGCATTCCTCGTCATCTTGCTGCAGCGAGTCGTGGGAGCGCACACAGCGTGCGTTTCATGGGGCGCACTACACCTCAGCGGTGTTCCACTGCATTTTGGTGCCGCGGGTGACAGAACGATCGCGCTACAACCCCGGCGGGCCCGTGAGTATGGAGCTCTCAGAAGAGGCCGCCCTCACGTGGAATACGTTGTGCCACTCCCAGCCAGACGCACCGTCACCTCCTGCAGGAAAACGAAAGTCACTCGACGTGGCACTCACGGAGGTGACGTACCAGGAGCAAGAGTTGGCGCTGCGGCTGCTGCAGGGTCTTAGCCTAGTTGTGTACGACCAGCGCCGTGCGATTGCCGAGGGTCTTCTGATTCCGTACGCGATTGAGGTGTGGCAGTGCTGCCTGCAGCACGTGGAGGCGCTGTTCCGCCGACGTCGGCGGAACGCCGCGATGGAGGGGCCGAGTGGCACCGCTTCTGGTATTGCGACTGCGGCTGCTGCTGCGCCGCCACCGCTAGAAGAGGGTCCTGTGCAGTTGGTGCAGGGATTGGAGACAGTGGTGATCGCGAGCATCGACGCGGTGGAGGCGGCGTGCCACTACAACCCACTCGCGCTGACACGCATCGTGCAACAAGGTGGCGTGCGTGCGCTCCTCGACATGGGGCTCTGCCCCTACGCTCCGCATGATATTCGCTGCGGCGTCTTCGACACGGTGAGCGTGCTCATGCAGGAGGTCGCCCCGTTTCGACGCGCGGTGGCTGCTGGTGCCGCGGCTGCTTCTGGCGCGGCGGGCGGCGGTGGTGGCGAGGACGAGCTGATTCAGACAATGATACAGCAGGCCATGACGGGCAGCTTTGGTCGGCAGGAGGCTCCGCCGCCGTACCTCATGGACCGCGCGAGTGCGTCGAAGTTTGACTCCGCCGTGCGTGAGTGGTTCAGCCAGCAGGGTCTGAGCCACGTCGTGTCGGCGGTTCTAGAGCTGCGTGATGTGCGTGGCACGCCCATCGCTGCCGGGGCGCTTCCAAAGGCGGATGTGACGCGGATCGTGCAGCGCGCGAGTCAACTCCGCGAGAAGCGGCTGCAGGCGCTGCTGCAGGCGGTGGACGGTAAACGCGAAGCGCTCTGAGGCGCGCCGGCTTGACGCGTAGTTTTGTTTGTTTGCTTGCCTTTGGTAGTGGGGAGACGTCTGGAGGGTTGCAGGCGATACGGCCGTTCTCTGTGTGGAGTGTCATTGTCGAGGTGGGAGAGAGAGAGAGAGAGAGAGCGAAGGAAGAAATGGAAGGTGAAGCAAAATAAGTAGATGTCGGTTTCACTTTGTGGCCAATCTATCCCCAATGGCGGCGTGTGTTTTGTTTGTTGTTGCGAACTGCTCTGTGAAAGACGTGTCGTTGGGATGGGGGAGAGTTGCATCCATCATCAGCAGCAATGTGCCTCTCGTGTTTGGGGTGCGACAATCTTTTGATTCTCTCTTTCTTTTTTTCCTTTCCTTCGGGGGTGGGATTGGCCGCAGAGGGAGGGACCTCGGCAGAGGAATGAAAACAGCAACGTCGGCGGATGCTCGCTACTCTGTGGACGCCTCTCTCGATATTCTGCACCGCCTGCTCGACGAGGAGAGCCTTGTGCTGGCTCAGCTGACGTACGTTGTGGAGCACATACATGCCCCACTCCTCGAGGGCTGCAACCCGATGAGGGCGGCGCAACGGGGACGGCAGCCGCAGAGCAGTACCGCGCCAAAGCCGCCCGAGGTCTTGACGTTTGCGCAGCATTGGGAATTGTTTGCCAACATCGCTACATTACAAGGGGCGCAGAGCGTGATTGTTAGCAAACTCGAGGCGGCCGTTAGCCAAAGCACTCATCTGCTTGAGCAGCAACAGCAGCTGCGATGGCAAGGAACAAAAAGAAGCCCCCGCATCAAAAACTCCACGGCAAGTGGCAGCGAGGAGGATGTGGGTGAGCTGCACACCATCCCTGAGCTCTTCTGCTCAGCATCTATGCGGCACTACATGGCGGAGCATATGATGTACAGCCTGAATTATTGTCGCAGTATCGCCCCGCGTGTGATGGATTTGTGGCGGCTCTGGCGTTGTCGTTGCTGCAAACAGGCCAGCACCAACCTCAACTCGGAGGAGCAGCAGCAGTGGCAGCGGTACCACCGCTTTCTGCGCTTCTTGTATGATTTGAGTGGCGAAAGTGGAGTCCCGGGAGACCCTCGTGTCGTGTCGACGCGTCTTCCTGATACCCCCGCCACCACAACACGCCCGCTGCATGGACACGCTGGCAGCATAAGCAGCAACAACTTCAATACCACTGGTGGTGGTAGACTGTCTAGTGTCTTAACGCAGGATGTGCCGCCTATTCCGCCCGATTGGGGTGGCTTCGAGACGCTGCTGGTTCTACTGGCGACCCCACTTGCGTCGCTGCGCCGGTACATGCACGTTGCCCGTTGCCTTATCGAGTCGCAGTGCTTGGGCCGGTCAATGCGGCAGCGGCTGCAGACAGAGTTTGTTGACGTTGTGGCGCTGCGCGTGGCGGAGGAAGGCAGCATTATGCTTGACGAGCTGGCGAAGCAGGACAACGCACACATCATGGCGCTCATCGACGAGGTCGCCGCCCCCGCGCCGCCGGGGTCGAGCGAAAAGAAGTACCCGCGCATCCGTCCCGACACGGACGGTAGCCGCACGCTTGTGCACTGCGGCCGATTGACGAAGCGGTTTCGCCGCGGCCGGCACGAGCGGTTGGTGTTTCTATTCAGTGACTGGCTGTGCTATGTGGAGGAGCTCGCAAATGGTCGGATGCGGCTGCGCGCATCCATCTCACTGGAAGCACTGAAAGTTGTGGAGTTGGATGACGCCGCTGCTCCTGAAATGCCTCACGGTTTCGATGTGGTGACGAAAGAGACGCGTCTCACTTTCTTTGCGCCGACGCGGGAGCAGAAGCAGCAGTGGGTGGACGCGCTGCGCAGCACTGTCAAGACACACGAGAAGCGGGTGCAGAGGTGTGCCGCACTGCAGCAGCAGTCAGGAGACGTGGCTCGTCTGATGCGTGCGACGGCACCACCCTTGTCTCACAACTCGCGTCTACACCGTCAGCAGCGCGCGGACCGCGTCCGCCAGAAGCGGATCGAGCACCGCTCCATGGCGACATCGACTGTCACCAAGTCGTCGCTGCCAGAGGCCTCGCCGGTGTCCGCCGTGTCCAGCAACTCAGCGAAGAAGTGGCGGTTCTCGTCATCCCGGCCGCCGCACGGCAGTTTCGACGTCACACCCTGGGCTCAGCAGTCAACAGACACGGTGCACAGGCGGGTGCGCAGCACTGACTTTCTCCCGACGTCGTGGGCGTCGCCGAAGGAGAACTCTGCAGAAGAAGTGGACACTTTGACTGTTGTTGATGCGTCTCTTGGTGCTGGGGGTGGCGGCATCAACACTGGTGGCCTGTTGTTGTCGCCCTGTGACTCACGGAAGCCGCCACGGACGCCGATGGCGCGTCTGCTGTCGGAGCGCTTTCAGGAGTCCTCGCTGCAGCCGTCGTGTAACAGCAATGCCAGCTCTCCAAAGGCCAAGGATGCGTCGCAAGCAAATGAGGGAGAAGGAAATGAGAGGAAAGAGTCTGGTAGAGAGGTTGGGGGGGAGGAGGAGGAAGAGGAAGAAGGAGATGATAGAAGTGGGCATGGAAGCGCAAATGATGACAAGCCATATGAGGTAGAAACTATCCAGCAACAACTTTTACTCTCTTCTGCAGCCGTGGTGGAAATCGAAGGTGGTATCAACGTTGGCAGCAGCCGTAGCAGCAGCAGTGACAACCGGCATGATGGCAGGGTAGAGAAGACTGTGCTTGATGAGTCTGAGTGAGCTACTGCGCCACCACCACTGTCCCCATTCTTGTATTTGCGAGTAGTATGGGGGGGAGTGGCTGGCTGACGGAACGGCACATGCACATGCATATACACACGCATCCAAATCGGTCTTATCAATTGGGATTGTTTCTGTAATATATGTATTTGGTTGCTAGGATTTCCATTGGTGCTGTTGTTGCTGTTTTCCTTTACTCACATCTACGTTCTCTCCATTCTTGTTCTTCGCTTTGTTTTGTTTGGGTTTTTTTAATGCTCAGAGTTTTTGTGTGACGGGGATCCATCATTTTTTCCCCCCGGTCCATTGTTGTTGTTGTTTTTTTTTTTGTTTTTGGGGGGTCTGTCTCTCTGTCTGTGTGTGGCTGCCGGTGCGGGAGCTGCGATAGAGTATATAGCCCACACAAGTACGCCTACCGGCAGGTCCACGTGGCCCGCATCACCTTCCTTCCATAGCAACTGCTCTTCTGCTTGGTTGGCGGCATGACGCCTGGGGAAATCTTCACTGCATTCGCTGGCATCATCACGGTGGTGGCGGTGTTCATGTACATTGTCATCATGGGACCCTCGCGCTACCACCGCGACGGCGTCGTTGGCCGAATGTACCGGCTCCTGATGGACTGCCCGGCGATATGTGGCGGTTGCTGTTGTGGTATTTTCTTTGGCTGCAGCTACACGCGTGGGCGGCAGAAGTGGACGCGCTGTGCCGATCACACGCTGCGGGAGCGCAACTGCTTCATGGTCGTCTTCTATATCCTCTTAGTGTGGAGTGTGGAGTTCCTGTACCTCGGCTTTGCGCTGCCGCAGCTGCAAGCGCCGGTGTGGTCGAAGGCCATCTCCTTTTCCCTTGTTGCGCTGTCGGAGGTTTTCTACGGGCTGGCGGTGTTCTCCGATCCCGGCCTCGTCACCACGCGGGAGGAGCAGGAGGCGCAGCGTCTCGCGTTCAGCAGCACGCCTGCGGTAAAGGTCGCCAAGAGTAGGAAGAGGGGGAAGGAGGCGGCACGGGAGGGGGGCGTCGCGGTGAAGAAAGGGACGAAGAATGGTGTCATTCACAACGGCAGTGAGAAGGGCAACAAGGCGACGAAGGCGAAACGTACATTCCTGCTCTCTCCCGAGGCAGAGGCGCGGCAGAACCGAAAGTACATCGTGGATGGAATCCTCTTTGGCATCAGCAGCGGCAGTAGTGGGGAGACGCACCAAAAAGGTAACGATGATGACAAGGAGACGATATTCACAACGACAACAGCTCTTGGACAGGAGTGCGTGACGTGCCACATCAATCGTCCTTGTCGCAGCAAGCATTGCCGCCTATGTGACGCGTGTGTGCGCCGCTACGACCATCACTGTCCGTGGATCAACAACGATGTGGCGGAGGGCACACACCGCTGGTTTCTGCTCTTCCTTCTCTGCCACGCTGTGTCGTGCATCTGGGCCTCGTGGGATCTGTATGCTGTGATGAAGGCGTTCCTGGTCCGCCACCGCGCGTGGGGCTGGCGGATCCGCCTCGCCAGCGGCAACGTGTACCAGCTCGGGGTGCTGGAGTACGTTGTGATTCTCGTGAACCACCAGACCCTCAGCGCCTGTCTGTTTTTCTTTGCGGTGATGATCGACATTGTGCTGTGGGCCTTCTGGGTGTACCAGATGTCCTTTGTTGTGCACAACCTGACGACGAACGAAATGAACAAGATTGACGACACAGTGGATTTCGTCACGTCGCTGCCGACGTTGGACGCGGTGTACTGTGAGGCGATGAATATGCGGCGGCGGCTGGAGGTCATCGCGGGGCGGCCGCCGTGGCGACTGCAGCAGTTGCAGGCACCACCGGCTGGCGCGGAACCGAATGGCAAAGCGGCGAAGGCGTACCGGAAGAAGGTGCGCAAGGCGATGCTCGGCGACCTCAAGCGCATATTCGACCGTGGGGTGTGGAATAACATCAAGGAGGTGATGTTCCCATACAGCTGAAGAGAGATAGAAGCAGGAGCAGAAGAAGGAGAAGAATGGGCGGTTGAGGCGGTTGCTGTCAGTGTGATGCGGGAAGGAGAGAGAGAGAGAGAGAGAAAGGTAGAAACAGCAGCATGGCACATATATTTGGTGGGAGCTCACTTCTGGTATGTGTTTTCGGCCATTGTGATTTGGTGTCGGTGATGCCTCGTAATCGGCACACACACACACGCACACAGACACACAGACTTACATAGAGAGAGGGGGGCATCTTGCCCTCCGTGAAGGGGTGTTGCCGCTATCTTTCTCCCTCACTCATTTTGTGTGTTACGACACCTGCATCTCTGTTGATGCTGTAGCGACAGGAGTGGGCGCGCGGAGGGTGCGCGCATAGTTCACACACACACACACACACATTCATATACGCACACGCTAAAATCTGGTGAGGACCGTATGGATGCCTCTGGCGGGCGGGACGCGGTGCTGCATAAGCTTGCCGACGGTGGCTACCACCGCGCACACAACACCGCTCTCTCTGTGTTTGACCGCATAGCCGGTGGCCTCGCGTGGGCTATTTTGAGCGCCCGCCACCGCCTCTGCGTGGGGTTGGTGAAGAACGCCGACATTCGTGAGAAGATTCGCGTCTCCGAGGCAATCTGCGACGCGCTGAAGCGCATGCGTTGCCCGATGGATCTCCGCCCGCACCAGGTACAAGGCCTCGACTTCCCGTGTCTGCTGCGTGTTGTGGTGTGGCTGCTCAGGTGTGTGGAGGCGGTGCGTGCGGAGAATGCGTTGTTGCTGGAGCGGCACACCGCTTGGGACTTCTTCCGCCGCTTCGGCTCTCAACTACCGTTTCTGCTTCCCCAGCAGCAGCAGCAGGAGGCGGAGGTGGTGGTAGTTGGGTCGCGTGCGTCGCCCGCAGACGTGGTGCTGCACGTCTCCAGGTCTCGCCTTGCGCCAACGCGGCAATTCATCCCAGTGGAGCGGCCGCCCCGCGACAGGCACGAGTCACGTCTCGCACACGTCTCCTCCGTGCTGCTCGAGTACGGGGTGCGCTACGCGACGCGCAACTCTGTCCTGCTGCTGCAGCACACGGCAAAGGAGGCCGGTGCCTTGGAGGGGGAAGACAATGATATAGACCTGACGCGGCTGAAGGAGGAGGAAGACCAGGAAGGGCATATGCTGGAGGGGCTCATGCAGCAGATGCGGCAGCATCGCGAGCGCAAGGACGGCAAGATGCCCCGTGCGAGGGTGCATGCCGTGCTGCAGGCGACAGAAGCCTCGGACGAGGAGCAGCGGCTGCGTGCCGCCTACAATGTGCGGCAGGAGGAAATGCGGAAGAGGCAAGAGGAGGCGCAGGCGGTGTGGGCGAGACTTGAGCGCAAGCAACGTGCTGCAGCGCGGTACCGCCACGAGTCCGAAGCATTGCAGCAGCGCTGCGTGGAGGCGGAGCAGCAGCTTGCGGAAACACAAGCGGTGCTGCAGGCCGCGAAGGAAAAGTCGGCTCGGCGCACCGCCAAGTTGGCGGCGTACGTCCAGAACGTCCACGAGGTCCACCAACACGTGCTCGCCGACCCTTCACGTGCGGCGGTGCTGCAGACACTAATGGATTTGCTGCAGAAGAGGGAAGAGCAGCATCTCCTGTTGGAGCAGGCGCAGCGTGACGGCAAGTGTCGTGTGAAGATGGCCAAGGCGGAGTGCGTCAGTATTGATGACCGCATCTCCAACGTCAAATCCGGCGTCGTTGATGACACGTGGGAGACCGAGCGTGCGCACTACGCCGCGCAGCTACAGCAGAAGGAGGTGGAGCTGGCGGCGGTAGAGCAGCAGGCGCTGGATCTGCTACGGTGCACGGATGCCTATCCGACACGCTCGGAGCTGGAACAGATTGGCATGCGCATTCGCGAGCTGAATGAAGAGGTGGCGTGCAGNTACGAGGAGGCGAAGGCAGCGTTCAGCCGCCACAACACGCAGGCGGAGATTCTGAAGTGCCTTGAGAGCGAGGCGTCAATCATGGCGCAGCTTGATGGGAAGACGGAGGCGTGTCTGCAGCAGCCGGTGGAGAAAGCGAGGGCCAGATGCAAGGAAGTACTTGGCGAGCACGCACAGGTGCTGTCACAGTTACACAGCTCGCTGGAGTTGGTGCTGCGACAGAAGGACGACGTGGCGATGAGGCTTGGCGCGGCGAGGAAGGAGTACGACGCGCTGTTGGGGCAGCGGCAGCACCACCGTGACCTACTGGAGATGCTGGAGCGGGTGCTCAGAGAGCAGCCCCCGCCAGCAGAGTGAGGCTTCGTAATGTTCACGACGCGAGCACAAGAATGCGATTGATGTTGTTTTGTTGTTGTTGTTGCTTTTTTTTTTTGCTTTACCGCTTCTCTGTGGAGTTCTGCAGCTTCACGTGCCCAACGTAAGTGACTGTTGTTTTGTTTTGTTTTTTTGCGATCGATGAGGCTGGGCATTCGAGCACAATGTCATGCAGCAGTGCTGTTTTCAATGTGGAGGCGTGCTGGGCCGCAGCGTGCACGCAAGAGCTTTCTTCCTTCGTTGCCGTGGTAGTTCTTTCTTTATGTATATTTCCCTCAATATGTATATATGTATATATATATATATATNTGTGTGTGTGTGTGTGTCTTCTTCCTTTGTTTTATCTGCACGCGCCAGCCAACGGCGCAAGACGGTTCCCGTGAGGGAGTATCAGGCGCATGGAGGCCGAACGCTCATCAAGTGGAGGGGGAGAGGCAGGGGGAACAGCAGCGGCGGCTGCCGCAGAGTCGGATGAGCCCCCCAACGCTGCAGAATCCGTCACGTGTGCGGGACATCCTCTCTGCCACGCCGCTGCCGCCGCGACTTGCGGTGCTTCGTGTTGTCTCCACCACTCCATGGGTGGTTGTCCCCACCACACTGTGCTCTCGAGCAGGGCGGTGCCATCCCCAGAGCCGCCGCCTCTTCATGCAGTAGTGCCATTCATTGCGATTCTTCCTCACCAATGCGGGGGTGTCTCGAATTATGAAGGCCTGTCTGCGGACAATTCGGGTGTCGAAGCCACTGCCGTTGGTAGTGGTGGTCCTATTGGAATTTCACTGGAGCGGTTTCTAACTCGGCAGGAAATGTACAGGACGCTTATTTTTTGTGGAGTGAAGCGGCATCGATGCCCGGAGGCGCTGCAGCAGTTGTGGAATTACCTGCTCGTTTTGTGTTATAACAGTTCCTTCGACTGCAGCAATGGAAGTGGAAACTGTAGCAGGGGGCGCCCTGTACGTGCCGCCAAAAGCGGCGCCGCGGAGAGGAGCGGTCCCGTTCCGGACTTTGCCACGGTGGTGCGGTATGCAGAGCTGCGTGATGTGCTGCGGGCGGGTGTCAGTAGTAGTAGCAGTAGTGGCAGTAGCAAAGAGGGTGAAGCCGCACCCCCCGTGCGCCTTGAGGAGCTCGTCGCCGCCGCCGCGCTGCGGGATGGCGGCAGCAGCGAGCAGGGAGCAGCAGCACGGTTGCCTGGCTACACGCTGGTGGTGGCGAAGCATACGTTTGACCGCTGCATCGCCAAACTTCTTGGCCATGAGTTGCGTGGGCAGCGGATTACGGTGAGTCCGCTGCCGCGCTGGAATGTTGCACAGGGCATTGTGCAGAACAGGCGGCCGCTCGTCATATTCTGCGGCGGCACAAGTGGATGCGGCAAGAGCACACTGTCGAGCCTCATTACCACGCACCTCTGCATCGACGCATTGCTCTCGACGGACACCATTCGGCAGGCGCTGCGGCGGACACTGCGTCGCGATGAGTTCCCAGAGTTATTTCTATCAACGTATGAGGCCCACCGTGCGGTGCCAGCAAATGTTCCGACGACAGGAGCAGCGGCAGTAGGATTAACGGAGAGAAGCAGCCGAGAGGTGGGAGGAGAGGAAGAGGCAGTGGATCCGCAGTCTGTCATTGCAGCATACGAGAAGCAATGTGAGGCGGTGCTGCGGGTGTTGGATGGTATGCTGGAAAAACTCATCAGCCGGAATCAGGCCGTTGTGGTGGAGGGGGTGCACTTGCTTACATCGTACATGCACCGCAAATCAGCCGAGCTTCAGGCACGCGGTGTCATATGTGTACCGTTCCTTGTATGCATAACGAAGGAGCAACGCCATGTGGAGCGATTCTGTACCCGAGCAAAGTGCATGACCCTCGCCCCGAAGCGCAACAAGTACGTGTCCCACATCCGCCATATCCGAATGATTCAGCAGCACCTGCTCGAACAGGTGTATGAGTATAATGTGAACATTGTAAATAACACCAATGTCGACAAGTCCCTGATGGGTATTCATGCGCAGCTGCTGGACATCATGGACCGTGGCGCGCCTTCTTCATGGAAGGGGAAAATTCCAGCAGAAGTATCGACCGCAGCCACAGTAATGTCATCGTTATCATCATTGTCGCCGCCGTGCTCGGGCAGTGGAGGTGCAGCGGGTGATGTAGCTTTCCGCATGCACTCTCCCGCACTGGCGTCGATGAACGACGTGGGAGAAGAAAAGGGCCGGGGGTGTTCCGGGGACGCCGTCCGCCGCTCCCTTGCAGATCCGAATATCAGTGGAAAACGGATGCTTGCCTTGTTGCTCCTCTGGCGGAGCGAAAAAAAGAGGCGTCGTGCGGGCAACGCCCCCTCCACGCGCCCCTTTGCCCTTATGGGTGAAACCCGTTGTCAGTGCTGTGTCGCCACATCGCTCTTAACGCAAGCCACTCGGGCCCGCTCGGCGGAGTCGCTGACATCCTTTCGCTTGCAGTCACTCTCCACGTGCTCGTGTGTGGGAGGCGGGAATGACGGGTCACCGCCGGCAGCGGCCTCACGAGACCCCGCCAAATGCATCGGCGGGTGGGGCGCAGACCATACCACGGTGGTGGTTGACGGCGGCCACGGCGGCGGCGGCGACGACGACAGCAGTCGAGGGGAACTGTGGCGTCCCAAAGGCACGACAACCACGTTCCCGAGAGGTCCCCAAAAAGGAATAGGAAACCTTTTCTTCCGACAGCGATCATTGGCGATGCCAGCTGCGTCGTGGCAGGAGGAATCCTCGGTGGACGGCACAACATTGGCCAGAGGGCCCCCCGCTCCCATAAAAAGACCAATAATAATAACAACAACATCAGCGGCAGCAACAGCTGTAGCAACGAATATATTACCAACGGCGGTGAGCCGGAGGAGCCGGACGTTCCGCTCTGCAAGTGCAGATGCAGCTGGCAGCAGCGGCGATGACGATGAGGTGATACTTTGGGGAAAGAAACACAGGCGATCCACAAAAGATGCGTCCTTTCACTGGCGCACTGTCTGTGGTGGTCGGCGCCTGGCGAAAGAGGACGAGGAGGGCGACGCTGAATGTGATGGCGACAGCCGATGTGAGCCCGCGTCTCTGGTAGGTAGCTGAGACGTGGGATGGAGAGTCTATACAGAAGGAATGGGCAAAATTCACTTCGCGACGCGGGGGGGTAAGGTTTTAATGATCATCCTCTTTTCTGCCTTGCCCCCCCCCGTACACACACATATATACGCACGCACGCACGCAGAGTGCTTTTTTTTTTTTTTGGAGGGAGCACCGCAGCATCATCGTTTGACGGAGGGACCGTTGACTACGGCCCCCTTTAACTCTGAGTGCACCTCTTACGTTGTCGGTGTTGTTACGATTACTTTTTTTTGTCCGCTCGTCGGCTATTATGCGGAGGGCATGGTTATTAAAGTACGCCCCGTCGGCTGTTTAGGCTTGGTGGGCGAATAGACGAAGTTGCTGGGTGGTTATTCTTCCAACTCATGTGGGCGCGCTTTTTTTTTTGGTTCTTTGCTTGTTATTTTTGCTTTGGGTGTGTGTGCCCCCTCTGTTGCTAGTCGGCGGACTACTTTGCCGAAAGGAGGGGGCCTCAGCGGTAGGCGAGACATGTCGGAGGCGCTGGAGGTGGAGGGGGCGTTGGCGTTGGCGTGTGCCGCATACATGGAGACGCACGACGCCACAACACGCGGGGGTGGCGAGGAGGGAAAGGGGGAGAAGAGGCGTCCGCCAAAGGGCGAGACGGCACCACATCGACAGCGATCAAAAAAGGTCATTCCGGCGCAGCAGCAGCAGTCGGACAAAGAGTTTCTAGCGCACAAGCAGCAGGTCATGGCGAACCTTGCCAGCAACGCGTGTGACAACAGTCCCAAAGGCGGTGTTGACCGCAACTGCCTTCCTCTCATGCACGTGTTGAATGAGCACCCTGACTACGTGACGACGAGCAGCTGCGGGGGCCGCATCGCTCTCTTCCACAGTGTCACACCCCCAGAAGCCTGCGGTGAGCGCACCTTAGATGACAGCCCTGTGACGGTAAAGCGGGGCGGCAAGGACGCGCTAGGATGGTTAATAGTGAAGCACGGTGTGCTGACGGAGAGTGAAATTGACGTCCTCGTGCGCTGCCTTTGTGGTGATGGCGGAAGCATTGCAGCCACTGCGACAAGAGCAACGGGAGGAAATGAAGAGGACACACAGCAGGAAGAGTTGGGCGGCGTGTGGGTGCAGGCAGGGGGAGCGTTGAGCCCCTCCCCTCTCCCAACATTTGGTAGCGTCGCGTTGAAGATGGAGCCGTTCGTCATGCACGTTGCGTGCCGTACCATGGCGAGTGCGAAGCGGCTTCTCACCGCTGCTGTGAGTGACTGTGGGTTCCGCAACAGCGGCGTCACACCACCGGGGCGGCGTACGATGTGTGCGATCCGCCACGCCACTGGCCATGGCCTCGATGTTCCACTCATTGTCGATGGTGTCAATTACGTTTTCGGGCAGCACACCTACGTGCGGCGGCTCTTGCAGTTGGCGAATGAAAAAATGCGTGGGAACGACGCCAAACTCCGCCGGCTGGAGGCAGGTGTTGCTGCTCGCCTTGTTGAATAGGTGAGGATTGAAGTGAACTTGGAGGTGAAGGAAGGCAGGACGACAACGATGCTGCTGTGTAATTTATAACTAACACCCAGGGCAGCAACAAGGGGAAGAGAGTGGAGTGTTGCGTGATGCATGCATATCTCTGCATTCCTTTACCTACGCCACATGAATTGTTGTTGCTGTTGGTTTTCCTCATAGTTGATGTTGCTTCGGACTTCTGTCGATTGGTGTTTAATCCTTCTTCTTTATTTCTAATTGTAGAAGTAAGAACAAGAGCAAGGAAAAGGGAAGAAGCAGACGCGTTTCTCATGGCAGCGAATAACGCCAACAACAATACTCTCTCGGAGGAGGCCATTGTGCAGCGGTACCAGCAACTCCGCCAGGAGTGTCTCTCTCTGGTCTCCCGCAATTCTGAGCTAGAGAACGAGCTGCACGAGCACAAGCTGGTGGCCGAGGCCCTACGACCGCTGAACGGCGACCGCCGTTGCCACCGCCTCGTTGGCGGGGCCCTCATTGAACGCAGCGTCGCCGATGTGCTGCCGGAGCTGGAGGAGAACATTAAGGGCATCCAGGAGGCACTGGAGCAGCTCAACAAGATTCTCGCAGAAAAGCAGAAGGCGATGGAGGAGTACGCAAGGAAGCACGGCGTGACAGTGGCCCAGCAGCACGGGCAGCAGCCCGCTGGCGAGGCAAATGCCGAGGCGACGAAGCGGCCGGAATCCACCGACCAAAGGGGCGTGCTGGTATAGGTGAGGAGTCACACAGACGTGCGCGCACACACACACACACACAGAGAGAGAGAAAGAGAGAGATGGACAGAGAGACCCACGTATGGACTGGGGTTTTGGTTGGGAGAGCCGTGTTTGGGTTTTCGACCTCCCCCATTCGCTGCTGAGTTGGCACTCCTTTCACCTGCCGTAGCTCTACGTGTGCGAGGTTTTGTGCCTTACCCAAGCCACGCAACCCTGGGTGTGGATGTGTTGAGGATAATGCGGCGGAGAAAGTCGACGTGAAAGAAAGGTGCGAGGGTAGAGACTATTGATTGTGGCGAAGATCGCGTCCTTAAAATCGCAAGCACTTTAAAAAAGAAAAGAAAAGGATTTTCTTTCAAGCCTTTCTGTGCGTGTGTGTGTGTGATTGCTATTCAAGTAGGTGTTATTACTTATTTTTTATTTATTTGCGGAGTGTTCAAAGTATGTTCCCTGTTTGTGTCTTATTTATTTACCAGTTTTCAGTATGCAGAGCAGCGAGGCTGCCGCAGCGCCACCGATGAAGCTCATTAGGTGGTGGTTTGGCAAGTCGGAGGAAGAACGGCAGGCGCTTAGGCAATGCCCAACAATATCCGAGAAGGCGCAGCAGAACATTTGCGCGGTGGAACACTTTGCCCAGGAGCACAGCTACTATGTCGCGTGCGAGACGGATATGGATGTTTGCCCACTGCCGTCCTTGACGCCGGTGCCGCGGCGTATCTCGCAAGGGTGGGAGTATGGCGTCTCACTCCCATGCGCCATGCACAACGCAGCGACGTACGGTGGAAGGTACGCAGCAGCATCGAGGAGAGCGGCACGCGATGCAGCGACACATCGTCTACTTGCGAAAGTGTATGCACGCACAGAAGTTGTCTTGCGTGACTACAGCGCACAGTTTTGGCCAGCGGCGGGGTCTGTGGCGCACAAAAATAATGACTGGTACAGTAGTGTGGCCCGTATTATTGTTGAAGCCCTGACAGAAGCATCCATGGCAGCGGTGTACCGTCTTGGGCTCGCCGATGGCTTGGAGACGATTGAGAAGGAAAGGTCACAGGTTGAAATGCCAGATTCGAATCGGGGCGAGTCAGGAAGTACGGATGTTGTGTCAAAACCCGTGGGCGCACGCCGAGCCGATGCGCATGGCTGCTTGGGTGTGTGGATGATGCTTACGTTAACGCATACAACGGCTACGAAGAAGAAGAAGGAGGAGGAGGGAGAGGAAATCAAACAGAAAATTGCGTCATCGCCACATGTGTTGGGCTCTGCGCGTGGGGTGAAACGTCAAAGGAGTGAAGAAGATTGTGCAAGCGGTCAGCCACCAGAGCTGCATGGCGATGCAGAGGTGAATGGGTGGCGGCTGTTGCGAGGGCAGTTTGCGCCTTTATGTGGGGGTGAGTTCTCGTCCAACAATAGGGGCAGTGACAATAATAATGATGATGCTGGTTATGCAGAGGATGAGGGAGGGGTTGTGGTTCCTTACACCAGCCCGTGTATCACCATAACCGCTGCGGACATGCGTTTTGGTATCGCCAGGGCGCTGAAGAACTGCCGGAGTGACGTCACGTGATACATTGCTCTCTGTCCTTTTCCCTCTTTGTGTGCGTGCATGTGGTTGTGATTTGGCCTGGGTTGGCCCCCATGTGCCTTTTATCCTTTTGGTTTTCTTTCTCTCTCACTCTCTCTTTCTCCATGTGGGAGCCGAAAAGATCTCAAAACTCTTATTTTTGTTTGTTTCTTTTTTGTTATTGAATTCATTTTTTGTGTGTGCATTTGGACCGCACGGTATATGTATATGCATATATTTATTTATTTTTAAAAATATACGGTAACCATAAATACTGAGCAGGAAAAGTTTGAAGACCACTATGCCGATCACTTCGGACGCAGGTGCCACCAGATCGATATCATCGGTCTGCACAATGGGCACGCCGGAGTGCGACGACGAGCTTCACCTTTTCCTCCGCTGCCTTCGAACATTTCACACGGATATACCAGTAATTGTGGGGTGTACATCTGAAATGGTTGGCATGGGTGGTCAGACTGTTAGTAAGGCTTTTTCGCAGTTCCGTGAGGATAGGCGCATCGAGTGGGTGCCATGTCTTGACCAGTACCTTTCCATTAATCGGAGCGCCATGGAGAAGCAGCGAGGCGTGTGGTACCCTTCAAGGCACGCAGATTTTATGATGGAAAAGACGAACTTAATGGAGCGCGCCATGTTGCTTAGAGAACGATACAGTGATGATAAAAATGCGGCAGTGGCATTCTTTGACTGCGACGTTGTGCTATTAGGCGCACTTCCCCGCCTTCCGGCTGGTACGGAGGTGGCGCTCTCACCACACCGAATTTGCCGCAGAGATGAGGCCCTTTTTGGGCGCTACAATGGTGGATTTGTTGTTGCTACAAATCCGCTCGTTCTACATGAATGGAGGCGCGCAACACAGTACTCTAGGTTTTTTGACCAAGCCTCACTGGAAAGCGTTGCCGGAAAGTTTGCCTCCACTATGTATGAGTTTCCCCCGCAGCACAACTACGGTTATTGGCGTTTTTTTCAATCATACCGTGAAGACCCTTTGCTGGAGGCAAGGCAATTCTCCATCGCCCCCATGGGGGCACGACGTCAGTGGACACTCTGCTACGAAGGGGCCCCGCTTGGCTCCATTCACACCCATTTTCTTCTTCACGCCGGCCAAAAGCAACCACAAAACATCCGCGCATTCAATGGACTCATGAAGAAGTTGATCCTCAAATGCATTCGCCCTTCGCCCGGCAGAGGGGCAGCCGCAATGTGCACAGCAGGGCTGGCAGCGGCGGAAAACGCGGGATATAGGAATTGTTTTGATATTGCCTTTCTCGCGAGCAAACCCTGACAAACATGCTGCGTGTTTCATCAAAATGGGAGGAACGCTCCCTAAAGAATTGAGAAGGGCATTCCTTATTGCCCGGGCCGGGATGGGAAAAAAAGGGGGGGAGACCGTAAGCAAGGCAAACGGCCAGTGAGTACCGGGCGAGCGCGCGGGGTCACCAAGGCGGAAGCGACAAAAACCGGGCAGTACGGAACCCTCCCGCGTCCTCTCGCAGAGCCCAAACGGCAACAGAGTGAAGGAAGTCGAAACAAAAGCGATTGTTTTTGGTGAAGGCACTGCTGTGCCATTTTTTCGTTGCATTAAAATGTAGAAAAGCAAGCAAACAAATACGCACATAATGAAATACGCGGGGGTGTCTTTCCCCGCTGCCTGTGTTTTTTGCCGTTTTCATTGCCGCAGGGCGCATGGTAAAGCCCTCCGGCAAATATGATACGATGCCGCCTCCCCGCCGCCGTGTTTTGTTTTTTGTTTTCCCAGGGAGGCAAGAAGAGGCGGCGGGGAGGC